GAAGCTATTAATAGCTTATAATAGTTATAGTGTGGCTTATGGCAATAGAAATAAACAAAATGGCGGGTTGCAAAATTGCGAGGACACACTCGCTGAACAGGATCTGTCAGGGTTTAGTGGCGAGACGATTGCTTAATACAAGCATTAAATGCAGTCAATTTATCTAATATAATTCTTTTTTTCATCGAGTTAATTTATCATCATTTTGTCGATTATGCTGACTTTGCAGGATATTATATATACAGCACATGGCCAATTTGTTGTGAATAGTAATTAACTGTTTATTATAGTGAATAATTATATTAATAATATTGTGATCAAATAAATGGATGTAGGATTGATAAATATCACTTGTGAGGAAAAAAAACAATGTAATTGTGCCATAATAACTTTACACAAGACAGAGAAATTGTCGTGGATGTTATATTTTCATCATAAAATGGGTACATTGTTGCTTTCTTCGTGTATTTCGTTCCATTAATGGGAGTCTTTGCGTTTGGTGCATCTGTGTGCATCTGTGTGTCTGTTCCACGGATATCTGCAGAACCAATTGTCTGATTTTAATAAAACATGATACATAGATGCTCTGGAATAATGCTCAGACCTGATTAGTTTTTAGTTGAAATCTGTGCATATTAATTGCCTATTTTGCATATTAATTAACCGATGTTAAGCATTTTCACTTGTTTCTCATGTACTATTAAACAGAAACATGAATTCAATCTTATGAAACAATCGTTGAGTTCCTCCTCATCAGAATATATTTTTGTCATGGAGTTTCGGGCGGGGGGCAGAATCGCCGCCCTCGTGTCGTTAGTAAAATGAAAGTGTCAGTGGCGGCCATTTTGTGAAAGCGCAGGTAAACCACAGAAGCCCAGGAACTATGATCAAACCGTTAAGTATTTGTAAATGGAGTCAATTTGTGTAGTTTTTTTTTACTTATATAGGTAAGGCTTTGGCGAAATTTGAAAGAGCAACTGATAATCTTCAACCTGGTATTTTTTATAGATTTTATTTTTCATTCTGTTCGTCTGTTTTTTCCAGTTTAAAAAAATATGAGCTGGCTGGAGCCTTCACCCCTTGTCTATTTCTTACACTAGATTCCAGCCGATACCCCCCCCCCCGCTCATAGGGAGTGCGTACAGTTGATCATAGTTCCTGGGCTTCCTATTGGTAAACTGTGAACCGAAGCGTCAAGTTTAAAATCGAGACTGTTACCCTAATTTTCGAAGGTATTAAAATGGATTGTTGCTGAGAAGTCAAGAGATACATTTTTGACACTATGTTTTCCACTATACATTCTTATGCTCCTCAAATAAATCACGTGCCTAATTTCATGTTTCCAATGACGATAGACAGACTCGGGCTGTTGAATTATTCTAGACTTGTATTCATAACCATATATAGTAAGTGACGTCACATTTAGCTGAATAAATTTAAACCACGTTTGTAACTTAAGTGGCGGGGAATACATTCATGTTCGTCAACACCCATGTGACAGCCGCCCATTGACTTTTTTTTCCTATTTCTTTTGAAATTTACAGTTACTTTTTCTTGCTGCTAGTTCGACAGACTTTCCAGGCATTGCAAAGCGTGTATTTTGAGTTGGATAGATATAGCCAATATATGTTGTTGTTTTTTATTTTAACTTGTTTTATTTTATTGTGATGATTGGCCTTTGAAACGGAAAATGTTTACAAGTCATTTACAAGAAAAATCAGAACATCAACATAAACAATAACAAACAGAAAAAATACATTTATACTTGAACAAAACTATTAGACTAAGCTTCCCTCGAATTCCTTCCTGGAGACCCAAATTGTTTTGATGAATGTCCTACTTTGCATGGTTATTTCTT